TGGTCCTGAGAGGGGGAGGGTCTACCGACACAAACATCACACAGGGATACGAATTGGCAGGAAGCATATTCGGATCGAACAGGTGATTTGGGGGGTAAAAGGAAAATTAATATTGTCTGGAAAAGACGGGGAGAAATTTACAAACGATATTGCAAGACAGCGATTACTGGACATATTGTTTTTCGACTGGGTAGCAAGCCAATAGGTTAACATCACATTTTAGAATGCAGTCGAATGTATTCCATTAGATGTGGAAAAATGTTTGTTAGAAATGCCTTGCCTCGTACCAAAAATACTGGTTGTTTTATTTCATTTTACCGTGATGCACTCTGAAACAAATCGCACCTGCTAACCACTACGTGCTTCTGTGATCTGACGACCATCTTTCCAAAACATTGGAGACAATACGGCGCGGTAGTCAGGGAGAACTTACATACCGACGTCGCCCCTAAAAGCCCCGTCTCCAGCCGTGCGTCATGCGGCAAAGGTGCGCGCCCCCCGTGACCGTCATCAGTCTTGGCCGACCATCACTGCGCCGACAAAAATTCAGCGTCCGATAAATCTCCCTGCTCTTTCCTTTTGTCCCTTCCGTCCGCAATCACCCTTCCCTTCCGCCCGCCGCGCGCTCACCCACGACCGCTTGACCCAGAATCAAATATGAAATTCCACCGAGTTGCACTAAATCTTTTTTCTATGGGTTCGGGTGCGGCGGCGGCGGCGTTTGGGCCTCCTCCCCGCGACCCTCCTCCCCGCTCTACCCCTCCCGGGGCAGCCGACTGATATAGTAGTTGATCGCTCCGAGGGAGGAGGGTCGTGTCGGACCTGCCTCAACACGTGTCCGCCTCGGCCGGGCCCGCCCGGCCGCCAACAGCAGCGGACGCAGACGCCGCGGCGGTCGGAGACGACCGCGCCGTGGGAAAGTTTACCCCAAAACGTCGGCTCCCTAAAGTTTTGCATAAAGACCCCACTCTGCGGACTCCTTCCTCCCCTCTCTCTCTCCATCTCCCTTTCTCCCCCCCCCTCTCTACATC